ACAAACATAAAAAAGAAGAAGGGGAGATAAGGACAACAGACGTTTGATAAGAAAGAAGAAGCAAACCACACCAGAGCACCCGCCAACCACCCACAAAGTGTCTGATTTAAAGCACTTGCAACACAATTAGGTCATATAAGAGCCGAAGATTAGAGGTGTTATTACAGTGAGTAACATATAAAGAAAAGAAGGAGGAGAGATAAGGACGACAGATGTTTGATAGGACAGAAGCAGAAAACCACATCAAACTACCCGCCAACCACCCACCAGATAAGTGTAAGTGAATGGTTCTCATTCTTCGAGGAAGTAGCCGACATATATGTCCGATCACCAGCAGACCAAAGCCAATGTTGCTGCACATTTCCAACCATCTTTTCAGTTTTTAGTTTTAGTAAGTGTTTGACGGGACTTGCAACACAATAAGGGCATTTAAGTGCCGAAGATTAGAGGTGTTATTAGAGAGTAACAAACACAAAAAAGAAAGAGGAGAGATAAAGACGACAGATGTTGGATAGGAAAAAAGAAGCAAACCACACCAGAGCACCCGCCAACCACACATTTCCAACCATCATACACCAATCAGAAACATGAATTTACATATTTTATAGCATGTATGTTGTTGTCAACTTTTTTTAAAAGTTACACATAAAAAAACCAGAATGGAAATATTTTTATAAGGGCCCCATGCCTCTTTTTAAAACTATATACCCCAAAACAGCACAGACAGACAGGAAGACAGACAGACAGACAGACTTTATTTTTCTTCAGCATCAACAAATCCGTGAGGAGCAATACTAGAAAACAGGGAATGCACATATTCTGGTACAAATACAGACTCCTATATTCAGACTCTGTGGTTGGCAGCTAAGCGACTGTAAGACTTGTCACACAAAGCACTCACCCCTCACTTTGATCCCAGCGACTCCGCTTCTCTTGGCCAACTTGACGACGTACGTGCCCGAGCTGGGGGTCACAGACTCTGGAACAAAACAGATTGGACCATAATTTATTGTCCTTGTTCTTTTTAGTAAGAGTTTTACGGCTGCAAAGGGTCTATATTTTTTAGAAAGCAAATTGTAAGCCAAATATATTCATTGTTTCAATAGATCGATGTTTGAAGAAAAGTACATCAAACCAATAACCATTATACAATTAACATAGACGTGAACATGGAAACATACTGACACACACACACAGAAATACACACACCCACGCACGCACACACACACGCACGTACGCACACTCACACACACACACACACACACACACACACACAGCAAAGACCCACACACACACACACACACACACGCACCTGTGAC